GTCGTGCCGAGCAGAGCCGAGCCGGTCGGTCGGACGGACGGCGGCGGCGCGCGCGCGTGGGTTTATGACCAAATCCAATAGGATATAGGTCTTCCCCCTTCCAAAGACTATTGGTACCCCTTGGGGCCCAAATCCAATTCCAAACTTCCACCTTATAAACCACACCAAAGTTTCCTAACTTTCCTATTTGGAATAAGTGTTTGGCAAATCAAATTCTTTCATAATCCTTAGTTTATGTGGGTTACTTTAACACTTAATATTTCATTCAATTTTAAATGGTTTTCGATAAATAAATATATCACATTAATCATCTCGCGGAGTAGCACGTAAATATGCTAGGTCCCGTATTATTTAAAAGTTGGGTCCCACTGAAATTTGGGCTCAAAGTTGTCCCATTAAACCATTTTTTCCAACAATTACGCGTACCGGTGGTTCCACAGGGTTTTTGGAACTCCGTGTAATCTCCATTGTAACGGATAAATTCCACTGAAGCTTCAAGAAAATACGCTCATATTTATGATAGTTTTGGAGGTGAAGGAGAAGGAAAAAGCCTTGACAGGATTATAAAGGTTTGCGTTCGACTTCAAATTGACCAAAGTACCCTTGACCTTGATTTTCTTGGATTGAAGATTCTTTTAAAATCTTCTATAGGAGGTTTTCCTTGAAAATTACTTTCCTAATCCTTATCTTGAGGATTTTGCGAACAGTAATTAGTCTGGATGATTTTAGAGGGTATTTTAGGTAATAAAGAGATATTCAAAATCGAATTTACTTTTGTATGTAAAAATAAAAATAACAAGAAGGAAAACGAAAAGAGAAATATTTAATTGATAAAGCCAGAACAATCATAGTGGGAAATAGATCAGTGGTGCAGAGGTTGGAAGCAACAATGGGCATTCTTGTCACCAGTGAGGGTGATAATCCTGCTTATGTGAGCTTCAATCAGATAACATGTCATCTCAGTATTATGTAATAAAACTAGTTCTATGCTCATGCAATGCATGAGAGGCATATTTTTTTAAGGCAGTGTTAGCGTGTTTAGTGTTACCAGAAATCCTTGACATCTCATTAATATTGGTGGGGCAAAATACTTTTATATTTTGATTTTTGCTACTATTAGGGAGTAGAAATAATTCTCAAGGATAGTAAAATAATTTTATATATTATTTGCAAGTAAAAGTAGTGCTCGGTGGCACTCTATCGAGTATCTACATTCTGAAGGAGAAAAAAGATAACAAAATACTCAAAGCAACCTTTATTCCTATCTCCAAAACATTATGACCGTTTTATTGTCAAAAAAGAAACGGATGTTTTTCCCTTGTTTTCGAAGGAGAACGATAATAAGATGTTGGGCTCATATTTATTTCCTTACTTCTTTTTATTTATTTTTATTTATTATTTGTTCTCTTCGAGTCTGGTTCTGAATGCCATGTAAGATCATCTTCAACCAACATATGAGAAGGCAAGTCATCCTAGCTCAATGCTTTTATGCTACAACATCGGGTTAAAATGTTCGGAGCAAAATGGGAAACCATAAAACACAGTAACGAATATTCAATGAACTTATTAACTCAGATCAAAGTTACTAAAAATATAAAATTATGTACACAGAAACAAGAAAAGAAAAAAAGAAAGAGTTCAAAATACACAAGATTTGAAGCTGAAATCATCAGAAATCAACAAATGAAGAAATTGTTTCTCAAAAGGAAGAAAACATGAACTCAAGAAAAAGATAATCCTAAAAGAAGCAACCAAGAGGTCAACATACCGATTACCGTGATATGCCCTGAATCATTCATGACAATAGCATCGACCATTGTTGATGTAGTTTTACGATGCTTAGTTTATTATGATGATACCAAATCCGTAGGAAGGCCTCGAAAAAATTGTTTGCCTTGGATTTGGAACTCATTGTGAGGGTTTCTTGTTGTATTGAAAATCCAATTTTCCTGTAGTGTCGATTGCATGTTTGAGGAAGTAAATTCGATGAAATCACAGATTTAGTTTTTTCAAACTCTTCACGAAACATGAAATTTTAACCACGTCTTTCAGAAAACATTCTAAGAAAATGATTACAAATAAGTTGGTATTGGTTCTGTCGAGACAGGACCATCGAGTCATAGTACAATAGTAACATACACAATATGAACATGGTCGATTGCAATCAAGTTGTCCCAATAATAACTATGCCCCATTTCCAAGACTAATTCACATGGTCGGCCGCAATCCATTTATGTAATTATGCGAACATTTCACACAATAAATTAGGAATATTGGTATGAACTTGAAACCATAAAGTCATATTGCATTATCATAATAATTGATATTTGATAGGTACTGTCGGTCCAGAAGGGTTTCAAAATGAATATTTCAATTATACGGGTGAAGTGAACAAGTAACTATCATGTATTGCCAAAAATCATCAAACAATTGGCAAGTTACATTTTTAAACTTCAACCTTCTATGGGAAGAATTTATAAATGGTTGATGTCGATGACAAAAAATGATGTGGTACTTTTAGATCAATTTAGAGGATTTTTTAAAAAATCATCATGTTATTATTTTTGGAATATTAGTATAATATAAGGGCATAATTTTCAAGAACTTGAATACAAGTGGTATAGAGAGATTTTTAATAGTTCAGTCCTTCTTTTTTGGACCTTTGCCCCTTTATATAGCCCTTTAAATTGGAGCTTGTCGACTTGCCGCTATAATCATAACAAGCTACAATGTCTGATCGAGTACGTGCGACATCATCCTGTTTAGAAAGATTTGATTGGTTGAAGATTTCGATTGCAATGTGGTCATCAAGATACCTTGGGTGTTGCCCCATACATTATATAATTATGAATTTTCTTTGATCGATTTTTGCGGTGGCGTTGCTACCCAAGGGGAACACCTTTTCAATCATGTCATAATTATGTTTTCAAATGACATCTCTTATGTGCCGACCTCTACGAGAGGAATCTTGGGTTGACCTTTCGTGTTGTCATATTTGACTTTGATGAAAAGGATCATTCGATCAATGTGGGCTCCCAAGTTATCCGACGTGTATTATTGGTAACCATCAGCTAATTAAATATAGATAGAAATGAATAATGGATAAAAGTTGGTAGTCCTTGGGAAGTCTACTAAAAGGTGTAATTAAAAATAAAGTTTGACTATTTATAATAATTTATATTAATTCTTCCTAAACCTCACTTGAACAAATAAAGCAACATGAATTCTCGAAATATCACAGATCACCCAAATAAAAATGAAAATTTCACTTTCAACAAACAATCTTGCGGTTTGATCCATGATTGGTTGGAAAAGTATAGGTGGCCGTACTATAAACAAGGAGGTTCAATCAAGTGTGCTTCATTTGATTTGGCGCACATAACATCATATTATTGTGGAGCATAAGGAAAGATTCAATACCTTAGTGTTTTCACAAGGGCCATGGAAGTTTAACGAATATATCATTGTATTAGTTAGCCAAATTTGGCCTCCATTTCACCGAACTTCAAATTTAGCCCTTGTTTGACTTCCATTATTTTGGAAAAATACATTTTTCAACAGTGTTTTGATATTATTTCAACAATACATTCTTTAATAAAATAATATTATACGTAAATTCAAAATTTTTCTTTATTTTTTAACTACACATTCCCATCAATAGACTATTCAAAAATTCACTCTTCCCAAAAAAGGGGCTCAAACAAGGGCTTAATCACACATTTCATGAAATCTATAATTTTATCAACTTTTCAACTACACATTTACCAATTTAAAAAAAAGTAAAACCAATTCTACTAAAAATCTAATTTTTATCCAAACCAAGTACGGGACTAGACTTGAGCATTTGGTAAACACATAATTTCAACCACTATTCTTTCTGGGTTAAAGTATGCAATGTTCCTCTAATTCTCGATAGTGAGGTTCATGCAAGACATTAGGATGAGACGATCATGGCAGTGTATTCGTATTCAGGTAAGATTAGATATAACCAGATGTTTAATACATGGCATTAGAATTTTGTTGAAGCTTTACAAACTAAAATTAATCTTTTAATTCTATGAAAGATTTCGAGCATTGTGTTTTGCTTTTGGCTTAAAACATGTAAAATAACATAAGTGATTTTAAAGTATTCTAACTGTTTCCCACTTGACCCTGAAATATATTTTCGAGCTGCTACTGAATTTATGGAAATCTATTACATATGTCGCTTTGTCACTTGCTTATTGAAACGTTAATGAATTTGATGATGTGACCTACAAAATTTCACATGTGACATGAGTTAGATGTTAGTCGTCACGTCGCCAAAATCCCAAATGATAAGCTTAAGATCTATTTTGTTAATAAAAAAAATGAAGAAAACAAATTCTGAACTTAACAGACAATAGCCATCTTCACAAACCTCAAACCCCCAAATTATGAACTAGGGTTATTCGTCCTTCAATTGAATTTGAGTAACGGAAATTGTACTCCCAATTCAACCCAAATATGGGTGATCCAATGTGGCACAATCTTTTGGGACATTTAAATGATAGCACCACACTCGTTTTCAAAACTCAAGAGCTAAATTGGCTAAATGTAAGGATCATAATTATTATGGATAACTCGTATGGCCCATGATCTTTTAAACAAATGAATAACAAAATGATTGCAGTCTTTAACAAAAATTAAATACTATGGGTCTTCAATTGTAGGACTTACTAAATTATAGGCTTTAACTATTTAAAAATTAATTAAAATTACATAGATTTTTCAAAACGATATTCATTTCTATAAGTAATTTTGTTTTATACACCTTTTCATAGCAATGCCCGTCTTAATTTTTCACAAAAAAAAATTCGTCTACCGTCTCACATTTCCCATTTATATTCCATAATAATTTAGGATCTGTTTGGTAGGGATTATGACAATTGATTTTTTGATAGTTAGAAAGAGAAGTCGGTCCCACCTATAAGTGAAGAAATAAAAAATGACTGCTAAAATAGTCAAATAAACAAACGGAATTTACCCAATTGTAGTAAATACTGCCTCAAAAATTAATTAACTACTTGACATTGTTCAAAAACAACGATTTCCACCTATCATCCTCGAAATCAAAATTTTCGTCATATTCATCTTCAAACCCGTAAGACATCGCATCATTTTGATGACCGAATGTAACATCATCGTCGCCACAAGTGATCTTCATTATGAAGATTCTTCATCATAATTGCCCTATTCAAATCTTTGCATTTTAGGTGTGGTAATGTTTTCGTTCTGTGAATGGTCATTTCTTCAAGAATCGAGTTTCAAATCGATGTGTGCCATACCAGAACCTTGTTCCTGAAATGATAATTAACAAAGTTATGGGAAATAATAAAGGGAAAATTGTAGCAGCGGTACTAAAGCTTTCATTTATTAGCAGACTTTGCCCAAATCTTCATTTTGTGCCATCGAAGGTCTCAAACCTTTCATAAATATGCAGCCGAAGTCCAGATGGATGGAATCCATCCATTTCACCGTTAGTTGACCAAAGAACTGACTTTGACTCCAATTTTGACCATATTAGTAAGGGCAAAATAGTAACTTGTATATTATCCCATTAATTAAATAAGTTAAATAGATAAACCATAAAAAAAATGAAAGAAAGAAAATGTGGGCATCATCTTCTTCTCAACCCCCCCCCCCCCACCCCCCACCCCCACAATCCAAATTGCAAAAGTTTTGAAAATCAAGATGATGGTACGTCCATCTTCAAAATAAACTTCCTGCAATTTTCTTGATTGATCTCTTGTTTTCAACTTTTTGGTCTTTTTAGGTGAATACATTTTTATTTCCTTCTGTCTAAAAATAGAACACCCAAAAAAGAAACACCAGATTTCAATTTGGAGAAATTGATGAGAAGAGTTTGGATCGAGTGATCATGTTACCTGCAAGAAACTTCAGCTTGGTCATTTTAACTATCAAGGTTGAGAATAATCCCATTTGTGCTGAGAGGAACCTCGGATCCATATCTTCATTTCACTAAAAGGGAAAAAAATTGGATTTAACAGGAAAAAATCAGAATAAATAAAAGGGGAAATTGGACAAGAATCGGGCTTTTGAGTGGGATGGAGGTGGAGGTGGAAGCGGAAGCGAGAGTAGGGTGTGGTGTTGAGTTGGAGAAAGAAGGTTGGAGTGGGGGATGGTGGTGGCCGGCACCATGACGATGGTCTGTTGCAATTTAGATTGGGGAGGGGGGGGAGAGGGGAGGAAGAAGATGATGCCCACATTTTCTTTCTTTCATTTTTTTTTTTATTTATGGTTATCTATTTAATTTATTTAATTAATGGGATAATATGCAAGTTACTATTTTGCCCTTATTAATATGGTCAAAATTGGATTCAAAGTCAATTCCTTGATCAATTAACGGTGAAATGGATAGATTTCATCCATCTGGACTTCAGCTGCATATTTATGAAATGTTTAGGACCTTCGCTGATACAAAATGAAGGTTTGGACAAAGTCTGCTAATAAACGAAAGATTTAGTACCGATGTTGCAATTTTCCCAATAATAAATGCAAAGAATCCTTTTTCGAGTTACATGTTTGTATTACACTTTCTGACCCAATGAAAATGAAGCCTAAACAAGAGTAGAAAACACTTACCATATCATCATTTAGAAGTCTCAAAGCATCATAATTGATTCATGTCGACATCACATGTAAAATACAAAACAAATATACTCCAGTTCGCTCGTAGGGATTGAAATCATCATACAACAAGAATTTAACAAATAACGAAAGACAATAATTTCCCTATTACTCTTAGCCATGTCTTGAGCTTTACATTGTACTGTGGCAAACAGAAAGAGAAAAAAGAATTCCCATTGAAGCCTAATTTATTACCCGCTGTTCCAATTTCTCGGTGGTTTTAACAGCTTTCCGAGCAGAGGTAGTTTTCTTTGTTTCAGTTTCTGCTTTTTGTTTTTCTTAACCTGAAATTTATCACCAATTTAGACAGCAGTCAAATTTAATCCCAAATTGAAAAGTTCAAATCTTACAGGGAGGAAAAAGTATGAAAAGGAAAGTTGAAACCGGCAAGTCGCAATATCATAAGCTGTCAATGTTAACATCAGTATCGATAAAATGTAAGGGCCCTATCGATATTTCAACATCAGCTAAGAAATGTTTAAAGACTACTAAAATGCTTAAAACAGGGTTTCTCATTACATTTTGTATAACAAATAATTATGAGACTTGCCATCGCTATACTTAAGTTGCATGGCATTGACCAAAAACATAAACACAGATAATGCGAGATGGAGGGAAGAAAATAATATGGAGTCATGCACATTAGTTTCAGGGAGAATTTTACTCACATAGTACTGCCAGATAGTTTGCTGTCTGAAGAAATCTCGTTTCACTTTCTCTTCAAATAATTTAGTTAAGACAATGGTGCTGCGTTTACTGCCTCATTGAACATAATTTCATAAGTTGGAATTTGCTAAAAATTAATTCTTTTAAAAAATTAGTTTTGGAGACAACACAAAATTCTTCAAGATACGTAAGCTTTGGAGGTGAAACTAGACATTTCAAAAACAAATTCTCCAATCAAATCAATCTGATCAAATTTCTTCTTTAAATGTTATAAATAAATACGTCCATATGCCAAACTCAACCAATAAATGGGATGCATTAATTTGGGAAATACCTCAAATTGACCTAAGTAAAGGAAGAATCCCAATAAATTAAGGATATCCTGTGCAAATATGACAAATCCTTTCATTAAGGGTATTATAGACATTTTACCAAAAATGAATAATAGTAGGCCATTTATAAAAATCTCCCCATTAATTTCTATGGTTTAAAAGAAATATTGATCCCATATTGTGACTTAAAGAAGACAATATCATAATATCATCTTATAGAGACTATTTTGCACAATCGGAACTAATATTATATTTATTCACATTTTACATTCTCCCATAATAATTCAAGGACATAAAAGATCAATTATCATGATGGCAGGACAAATACGTATAGTTCAATAATTCTATCGGCTAGCACCTATGTGAGAGCTAGAAGCCTAGAATCTATAGATTGTATGTTAAAGTCACAAAAATACATAAAGAGAAAGTGAGCATCCGAATTAACATAACACTTCATCCTAGCCTACTTGTAGAATAGAAAGAAAGTAAAATAATAAACAGACAAAAAGGGGAAGGAAACAGGAAAAATATGCCCATACAGAGGAACAAGGTAAAAGAACACAAACCACACCTTAATTGAGCTAAGATTAGATGAAATGTAAGAAAACATTGAGGTGATGCAAGGCTGGTAAGATAGTCCAATAACATCAATCAAACCAATTGTAGACTAGAAATTCTGCCAAATTACCCCAAATGCAAGCAAATCTTGAAGAGTATTAGTAAACAAGGCTTTACCTTTACATGTTCTTTAATCATGGCTTCCCATAACATCCTTTTCAAATAAGATATCCAACAATCTGAAGAGCATAAAAAATTGCTTAAATGCTTCCCCAACTCATGTGTCTAGTGATAAATGCTTGATTCCCTATCATATTCTGAAATATGGATCCTTTTCTTTTTCAGGATATGAAATTCTAAATGACTTATCAGCTGGTGAAAATGTTAGATATTATCAACGAACGAAAAAATTTCGTTAAAAGATTTCAGCAGAGTACAGGACTAAAGAAGAAGCATTAGAAACTTACAGGGTGCATAGAAGTTTTGATTATTCAAACAAAAGTAAAGGTATTCTAATGGAAAGCATGAAAGTAATTTACCATCATAAAAAACACTTGTGAGAACCATTGCCAGAGTTTAAATGATAATGCATGTGAAACAACAATGCATATGCCTCAGAATCATCAATATCGGAAAGACTTTCTGAGCCATCAGATTTATTTCTACTTCTTTTCTTGTACCTTTGTTTTTTACCAGAGTTAGTTCTTTTCTTAGTAACTAAAACTTCTGCAGCTATCCATTGTCTTAGCACAAAAGATTCTGCATAAGAAATTTCATACACAAAACTCATGAGAACAACATTAAAGATTACAGCCAGTGCTCTCAGTTGCAACATTGCAGGTCACGTAGCAACTCCACTCGACGGGAAGTCTCAACTTCCACCGTCTACAAAACAGATAATATAAATAAGAAATGTGAGATTTACAATAACTATGATCTATTTTATATGGCTTCTAGTTGAATGAAACCTTACAAGGACTTTATCAGCATGATCTTACACTTTGATAAAAGAATAAAGTTCCCATAAACCAACACCCTGCTGGTGAAGGAATCAGCTCTTGATATCATATTTGGAAAAAAAAAAAAAAAAAAAAAGTTTCCAAAAACCCTCTTTTATTGAAAAAAATAATAATAAAAACACAGGAGAAAAATTGAAAAAACCAATGAGACTGATCTTCAAGCAAATAAATAACTCGGGAATTTTTGCTAATCAATTTGGACAAAAACAGTAAATGACTGCCTATACACTGAAATAGTAATATCACTGCGTAGAATAATCAACGCGTATACATTCATCCAATCTTAGAAATATTTAACAATTTCATGAGCTGAAAATTCATGAAAATATACGAGTTGCAAGGGAGTAAAAGGAAAGAAAGAAATTACGCGCACAGATGCTTCAAAGGGTTTTTGGAACTTTGAGTAATCTTCATCGATAGAGAAATACCGCTGAAGTTTCAAAGTGGATATGCGCAGAGTAGTTTTAAGTGGAACCCTTGACCTCAGAATATTACCGTTAGCAATTCAAAAATTAGCACCGACTCATTCTTACATAAAAAAAAATTTTACCGTTAAAAAACCAATCTTTGCACCTCTCTTTCCCTCCAAAAACACTCTCTACTGAACTCTTTCCGCATCGATCAAAATTTTCTCTCCCTTTTTCAGCCATGACGAAGTCTAACAACAATCTGGAGAAGAAAACAATGGGTCGGCGGAAGATTGAAATTCGGAAAATTGACAGTAAAAACAGTCTTCAGGTTACCTTCTCAAAGAGGCGAAGCGGTCTTTTCAAAAAGGCAGCGGAAACGAGCCTATTGTGTGGCGCAAATATTGCAATCCTCATCCAATCTCCGGGGAACAAATTTTTCACTTTTGGCGAACCCTCGGTGGAATCCATTCTAAACCGGTACCAATTTCTTGATTATTCATTTTCTACTGAGTCAAACCCGACTCCCCACAATCTTTTGGTTGAAGAAAGAAGTGAAAATAATGAGGCAACGAGGGGATTTTGGTGGCTGAACGAAAACATGGAAACTATGGAGTTGCAGGAACTTGAAGCATTTGAAGAGAAATTGAAAGTTTTGCTTCAAGCAGGGGAGATGAACCGGTACCAATTTTTTGATGATTCCTTTTCTACTGAGTCAAACCCGACTGCCCACAATCTTTTGGTTGAAGAAAGAATTGAAAATGATGAGGCAACGAGGGAATTTTGGTGGCAGAACGAAAACTTGGAAACTATGGATCTGCAGGAACTTGAAGCATTTGAAGAGAAATTGAACGTTTTGCTTCAAGCAGGGGTGATGAACCGGTACCAATTTCTTGATGATTCCTTTTCTACTGAGTCAAACCCGACTTCCCACAATCTTTTGGTTGAAGAAAGAAGTGAAAATGATGAGGCAACGAGGGAATTTGGGTGGGAGAACCAAAACTTGGAAATTGTGGATTTGCAGGAACTTGAAGCGTATGAAGAGGAATTGAACGCTTTGCTCCAAGCAGGGGAGATGAATAAACAAATTGCTTCAGCTTCTTGTTCGATGATTCCGCTTCCACACCTGTAGGGTTTTAACAAAATTTTTGACGTCGTCTGATTTTTGAGTTACACGTTACGTATATAAACAGACATGATTAGGTTTTAAATTTTTTAATGTTGTCTAATGTCAACACAAGTTGGCAACTGTTTCATTGGATTGTCTTTTTCGATGACGATCGACCCTATTTTTTGTGGAAATTTTTAATTGATTTAGCATAAAATCTTTGTTGTTTCTTGATTTTCAATTGAAAAGTTTGCGTAATTTGTTGTTGCTCTTATACCTCACAGTTTGCCTAATGTGCGATCAGCAAAAAGGATATTTTTTTTGTATAGTTTACGCTTTCTCGGTGATTACATAAATTCATGGATTAGCAAGAGGTATTAATTTATAATAATTATCACTCAATGAAATTACATATAAGCATACAAAATTTACCTAATTGTAGTGAACTTTATTAAAATTAATGTGGCCTCTTATAGAAACTAGAAAGGTCATTGGTATACTAATCTTGATTCAGAAAGTGTGCATGGACTTGTAAGGATACAAGGTGTACTTCCCAAATCTTTAGTACCTTACAATTTTTAAGTTCGAAACTTCTTCATTTATAGTCATTGCTTTGATACTGGCTGACAAGTTATCCAATTTCAAACGATAGCACCTAGTTGTTGATGAGATTTATAGCATGCTCATGACCCTTAACGAGTATGCAAGCAATAGCATGTCGACAGGACATAAGCACGAAGTCCTTTATTTACAATAAGAATACTGACTGAATATTGGATCAATTTTATGGAGAAACACTACAGAACAAAATTTTAATTCAAGTGGAGTTGAGGGGTATTTTTCAATAAAAATATAGTAAGCACTGCCTCAAAAATTATTTAACTACTTGACATTGTTCAAAAACCATGATTCCCAACTATCTCCAAACTAATCCTCGAAATCAAAATTTTCATTATATTCATCTTCATACCCGTAAGGCATCGCATCATTATGATGACTGTATATAAAATCATCTTCGCCACAAATGATCTGCTGTTGATCTTCATCTTCATCATAATTGCCCTCTTCAGATCTTTGCATTTTGGATGTGGTAATGCTTTAGTTCTGTGAATAATCATTTCTGCAAGAATCAAGTTTCAAATCGATGTTGTGTGCCACACCAGAACATTGTTCCTGAAATGATAAATAACAAAGTTATCGGAAACAAGAAATGCAAAGAATCCTTAATCTAGTTACATGTTGGTTTTACACTTTCCGACCCAATAAAAATGAAGCCAAAACAAGAGCATAAAATACGTACCATATCATCATTTAGGAGTCTCAAAGAATCAGAATTGATTCTCGAACTTCTCTTCTGCAAAAATAGGATTCATGTCATCACATGTAAAATACAATGCAAACATACACCAGCTTGTAGGGATTGAAATTGTCATACAAGAAGAATTTAACAAATGACAAAAGACCATAATTTCCCTATTACCATCAACAATATCTCGAGTTTTTCATCGTATTGTAGCAAACAAATAGCGAACAAACAAAAAACCTAATTTCTTACCTGTTCCAATTTCTCGATGGTTTTAACAGCTTTTCTTGCAGAGGTAGTTTTCTTTGTTTCAGTTGCTGGTTTTTGTTTCTTAACCTGAAATTTATCACCAATTTACACAGCAGTCAAATTTAACTCCAATTGAAAATTTCAAATCTTACAGTGAGGGAAACGTAGGTAAAGGAATGTTGAAACCTAAAGACAAGTAGCAATATCATAAGCTGTTCAATGTTCACATCAATATCGATAAAATATAAGGGCCCTACATCAGCTAATAAATGTTTGAAAGACTACTAAAATGCTGAAAACAGGTTTTCTTGTAATGTCGGATAACAAGTATTTATGAGACCTGAAATCACTATACTTAAGTTGCATGGCAGGGGCAGAAAATGTGAACACGGTGAAAGTGAGGTCGAGGGAAGAAGATAAAAAGGAGTTATGCACAGTAGTTTATGGGAAAATTTTATTCACAGTGCTGCCCATTAGTTCATTTATGAAGAAATCTGGTTTCACTTTCTCTTGAAATAATTTAGTTAAGATAAAGGTGCTCCAATTACTGCCTCATTGAACAAAACTTCATAAGTTGGAATTAGTTAAGAATTAATTCCTTTAAAAAATTAGCTTGGAGGCAAAACTAAATTCTTCAAGATACCTAAGTTTTGGAGATGAAACTAGATATTTCAAAAACAAATTCTCCAATCAAATAAATCTGATCATACCTTTTTCTTTCAATGTTATTAATAAATACGAAGGATATATGCCAAACTCACAACCAAGAAAATGAATGCTTTAATTTCTATGGTTTAAAAGAAATATTAGTCACATATTGTGACTTAATGAAGAGAATATCATAATCTTGTCTTACAGAGACTATTTTGCACAATCAAAACTCATATTATATTTTACCACATATTACAATTTCCCCTAATAATTCAAGTACATAAAAGATCAAACATCATGACAGCAGGACAAATACGTATAGTTCAATAATTCTATTGGCCAGTACCTATGTGAAAGCTAGAAGCCTAGAATCTATAGATTGAATCTAAACGAGACACAAAAATACATTCAGAGAGAGTGAGTAGATTGAATAATATAACTCTCCACCCTAACTTACTTATAGAAAAGAAAGAAAATAAAATAATACACAGATAAAAAAAGGATGGAAATACGAAAAGCATGCCCATACAGAGGAAAAAGGTAAAAGAACACAAACCACACTTTAATTGAGCTAAAACAAGATGAAATGTAAGACAACATTGAGGTGAAGTAAGGCTGGTAAGATAGGCCAATAACCCTCAATAAAACAAATTATAGGCTAGAAATTCTGCCAAATTACTCAAAATGCAAGGCAGATTTTGAGGAGTACTAGTAAACAAGGCCTTACCGTTACATGTTCTTTATTCATTGTTTTCCATAACATCCTTTTCAAATGCATCTCCTTTTTGTTGTTAAGATATCCAACAATCTGAAAAGCATAAAAATTTGCTCAAATGAATCTCCAACTCAGGGCTCTAGTTATAAATGCTTGATTCCCATTCATATTCTGAACTATGCATCCTTTTCATTTTCACAAGATGTAATTCTTACTGACTTATCAGCTGTGAAAATGTTAGATATTATCAACGACCAAAAAGATTTCATTAACAGAGTTCAGCAAGGTAAAGGACAAAAGAAGAAGCATTAGAAATTTCCAGGGTGCATAGAAGTTTTGATTATTCAAACAAAAGTAAAGGTATTCTCATGTAAAGCATGAAAGTGAACTTACCTCTATAAGAAAAACAGTTGCAAGAACCATTGCCAGACTTTAAACAAATAATGCATGTGAAAAAACAAAGCATATACCTCAGAATCATCAATATTGGAAAGACTTTCTGCCCCGTCAGATTTTGTTCTACTTCTTTTCTTGTACCTTTGTCTTTTACTAGAAGAATCCTTACTGAAGTCCTGATGAACGGCTGAAGCATCTGAGACATAAAGAAATTACATAAACTAAAACTTCTGTAGCAACCCATTGTCTTAGCCCAAAAGATTCTGCTCAAGAAATTTCATACACAAAACTTGTGAGAACAACATTAAAGATTAACGCCAGATGCTCTTAGTTGCAAATTCCAGGTTGGGTAGCAACTGCACCTCTGCGGGAAGTCCCAACTTCAACTGTTTACAAAATAGATAAAATAATTAAGAAATGTGAGATTTACAATAACTGGGTTCTATTTTATATGACTTCTAGTTGAATGAAATTTTTATCGGCATGATCTTACAGTTTGATATAAGAATAAAGTTCCCCACAAACCAACACTCTGCTGGTGAAGGAACCTGCTCTTGATATCATTTTTGAAAAGGAAGTTTCCATCTTTTATTGAAAAAATAATAATAATAAAAAGGAGAGAAAAAATTAAAAATATTGAAAACGCCAATGTGGCCAAGCAAATAAATAAATCAGGCATTTTGCTAACCAATTTGGACAAAAAGGCTTAAAAAGGATAAATGATTGCCTATATACTATGAAATAATAATATCAATGCGTAGAATACGCTGCAACAAGGGAATGAGTCTAGGCGTTTCAATACTATCAAATGACCATATGTTTCTAATTGAATAATCAACATGTATAAAATCATCCAATCTTAGCAATACCGAACAATTTCATACGCTAAAAATTCATGGAAATATACGAATTAAAGGAAAAAAGGAGAAAGAAAGAAATTACGTGTACCGGTGGTTCCACAGGGTTTTTGGAACTCTGTGTAATCTCCATTGTAACGGATAAATTCCACTGAAGCTTCAAGAAAATACGCGCAGATTTACGATAGTTTTGGAGGTGAAGGAGAAGGAAAAAGCCTTGATAGGATTATAAAGGTTTGCGTTCGACTTCAAATTGACCAAAGTACCCTTGACCTTGATTTTCTTGGATCGAAGATTCTTTTAAAATCTTCTACAGGAGGTTTTCCTTGAAAATTACTTTTCTAATCCTTATCTTGAGGATTTTGCAAACAGTAATTAGTCTGGATGATTTTAGAGGGTATTTTAGGTAATAAAGAGATATTCAAAATCGAATTTATTTTGTATATAAAAATAAAAATAACAAGAAGGAAAACGAAAAGAGAAATATTTAATTGATAAAGCCAGAACAATCATAGTGGGAAATAGATCAATTGTGCAGAGGTTGCAAGCAATAATGGGCATTCTTGTCACCAGTAAGGGTGATAATCTTGTTTGTGTGAGCTTCAATCAAATAACATGTCATCTCAGTATTATGTAATAAAACTAGTTCAATGCTTGTGCAATGCACGAGTGGCGTGTTTTTTTAAGGCAGTGTTAGCGTGTTTAGTGTTACCAGAAATCCTTGACATTTCATTAATATTAGTGAGCAAAATTTTTTTATATTTTGATTTTGCTACTATTAGGGAGTAGAAATAATTCTCAAGGATAGTAAAATAGTTTTATATATTATTTGCGGGTAAAAGTAGTGCTCGGTGGTACTCTATAGAGTATCTACATTTTGAAGGACAAAAACGATATCAAAATACTCAAAGCAACCTTTATTCCTATCTCCAAAACATTATGACCGTTTATTGTCAAAAAAGAAATGTTTTTCCCTTGTTTTCGAAGGAGAACAATAATAAGATGTTGGGCTCATACTTATTTCCTTACTTTTTTTCATTTTTTTTTAATTTCTTATTCATTCTCTTCGAGACTAGTTCTGAATGCCTTGTAAGATCATCTTCAACCAACATATGAGAAGGCAAGTCATCCTAGCTCAATGCTTTTATGCTACAACATCGGGTTAAAATGTTCGGAGCAAAATGGGGAACCATAAAACACAGTAACGAATATTCAATGAACTTATTAACTCAGTTCAAAGTTACTAAAAATATAAAATTGTGTACACAGAAACAAGAAAAGAAAGAAAGAGTTCAAAATACAGAAGATTTGAAGCTGAAATCATCTGAAATCGACAAATGAAGAAATTATTTCTCAAAAGGAAGAAAACATGAACTCAAGAAAAAGATAATCCTAAAAGAAGCAACCATGAAGTCAACATACCTCATATCACCAGTCTGCTATTTCCATAAAAAAAATTTCGTTCTTTTTGGAAACTTGAGGAATAGTTTGAAATCAAAGAGGGAACAAAATCTCCTACTAAACAAAAAGTCTAAAGAAAATGTAACAAACATACACGACTGAAATGAAGCTGTGATTCGTAATTTACAGGATGCTTTTGTGCAAATTCTTTAGAGTTGTTCTCTATAATGGGAACAAATAGATGAAATTAGGGTGTAAATAAATGGTACTGACAATAAATGGCTCCTCGTTGAACTTTTCTTCTCTTTATATCGCTTAACATAAATGAGCTCCAAAAACAACATCGTTTAACATAAAAAATAAACAGTGAAAGCTTTTTTGTAATGAACAGCGGGAATCCAGTTCCAATCAAATCCAGTGCGAACACACAGGCACCCAAATGAACAGTACTGTACTGATCCTTTCTTTCAAGGGAAGGCAACTTAGTCATACTATATTATCAACAAAGTAAAACAGCGAAGCTAAAGGGAATTACTTGATATTTAAACAGTTAATTACAGCTTAAGAGTAATCCCCAAAGTACAATAATGTGAATTCTTTTCTTTCAACCTTTTACAAGAAAGCTCAAGTAGCTTTAGTCAAGAGAAACCACTTTAGGATTCTTCAAGTCGTAACCTCCAAATAATTTATCCATAATATTTGACAGAGCTCTTCATCAATGATACTTAATGGGATAATTGTAAAACAAATGAAATTGTATCTCAGACACGACATGTAAAATTGTAAGAAGTATTTGAATCATGAAGCATTTAGATATCCAGGTTATTTGGTTGTTGTAACATAATTTTTGCTAGTTCTCAAATCACTGAAAGTTATTCATATTTAGTCAAGCCTTTGTAATAGCTTTATACATGTAACATTGGTCACAATACCATGGAATTCTGCTACAAACACGCTTCATTTCATATTGTTGGTTATGTCAGGTAGCCCTCTTAATCTTATTCATTCCACTTAGTGGTCATCACATGGCCTATGCAATATCCTCTGTGTAGATACAGAGAAATAGGTGAAATCATCATAGCCACTTCTTTATACGAGTCAACTCATACACAAAAGGAACTCATTTGGTAAGCCATTTTAAAATTTATACAATCAGGTGTAACTTCAAATAAATTCATTTTGATTAATGTCTTTGATGGAAATTTCTTACTAAAAAATTCACCACTTAACCATATTCAAGTGAATATATGTAACATTACTATTAAAACGGTTTATCAAATCAAGAATTTTTTGAGAGAGAAGGATAAAAGAATTGCTTAATGAAGAATATCACAAGAAAAGCAAGTGAAAATAGAAACCTAGCCAAATTCTTCATCTTCAAATTCTAGACTTTACTTGACAACAAATTCTCACAGTAAAGTAGCTCTCTAGGTGCTCCAATGATAGAAAAAAGGTTTATGGGAGGGTGATTCAACAAGCAGGTGGCAAGGGATCCAAGTTTTCGAGGTCAGCAAGCACAACATGGAACAGGTTTATTCCATACACTATCAACTAAGGCACCGCATCTTCCATCCAGTTTAGCAACATGTCTTTTAGAGCAGCATCAAATTTTCAACAATTAATATTTTGGGAGGATAAAATTATAGCCTCTGTTCTTTCAATTTATTTAGCCTCAAAGCCTCAATTATACCTCCAAAAGCAGCTTGTGGTACCTCTAGATGCAGCTTACCGGAACATTTGAGGTTCTTCGAACAGATCTTCCAAACTTGCTCTCAGTTTCGTTGCATACCACCCACTCATATTGAAGTAAAGCTCATATTAGAATCAATGGTCGATATGCTATCATACGACCTAGCAAGCAATGAGAAACCTAAAGCATTTCTCCAAGTGCTTATTCTGAAGTCATTTTTAAACTTCTTTTTCCCAAACGAAGCCTCTAAGACAGAGCTGCCCAACATCAATTGCCAGGATACAATGTCCATTAGCAAGCAAAATAAGTAAGCTTAAAAGGCAAAATATCATTATTAGTACAAGAGATTCTTCTAGTCATAAGACAACCCTCTACGGGCCAAAATTTAGTGAAGCTATAAAATTTGAAAGTACATTACATTTCAAATTCACATTTGTATCCTCCAGAGTAGAAACAATATAAACTCTCTGTTTCTTATCCTGTCATAGAAGAATCTCAAAAGTGTGCTACTTTCACTTCAGCTGCATAAGACAAGGCTAAGAAGCAGAGCCTGTGATTCTTGGAAGAATAGCGAAGATATAACACTTTAGAACAAGCTTGATATATAGAATAGGCTTATATAATAAGTGATCTATAGGTGACTAATTGAGTTCTCCAATGAACAAGAGATTATCTTCCTTGGTAAACATAACATTTTTTCTTTTTCTGTGGTAAGTGATTTATAGAGCTTTTCTTCTCATCTCATTGTTGTTTTAACTAAATATGAAAGTATAAATGGATATTCCTTCAAATAATTTAATCATTTTCTCAACTATAAGTCTAGTAAGCAACTTTGTAAAGTATGTGCTATAAGCTCATAGGATGACCGACTGGATGAACATGGAAAAAGCCATGTCAACAAAATCTGCTCTAGATAAGAATGAATAGCGTAACAGCCTAACATGATAAGAATTAACAAGCATGAGAATCATATCGGCAATCGAAAATTTAATCTCTATTTTCCAACATCAGAATAAAAAAAAAACTCTTTTAATGTGGTTAATTGTCCAATACCTCTGGCAATCTACAACCAACTGATCTAGAGCTTGTATGCGGTTTATTTTGATTCTAGGGATATTTTCTGAATTTGACTAAAATCCTCGTCCAGAACCCCTTCTTCCCTAACTGGATTGCAAAGCTTAAACTAGATGGAGGCAGAATATGTTGCATCAGCAGCTAATATTACCATCAACAAGTAGTACGAGATATTATTATAACAAGAATTCCAATATGGAATAATTGTTTCCATGGTTATGTGAAAAAAAAATGAAATTATCCGTGTAGAAATTATTTACTTTTAAAAAATCAAGGTAAGAACATCTGAATGACCAATAGCAGTAAGAAAGAAAAATTCGAAAATTCTAAAATTAATTATAAGTGAGAAAGAGAACATGGCCCTTAATTCGAGAATAAGACCAAGTTAGTGGCTCAGTTGTGAAGATTCTGTGGCTGTTTTGTTGTTTGCATGTGGGAAGTGGAGTCCAATTCCAAGATCATGCATGCATACACATGGAATAGCCCATGGAATTTCTATTGACACGTTGCAGATTAGAGTTAGGATTTGTTCTTCATTTGTTTAGTTTACTTTGTAGTTGTTTATCTTAGTTCCCACGATCTGCTGGACAGTCATCGTGTGTAGCAATAGTTTAGGAAAAGTAGTTGAGTTGTAGCTTATTTAAAGAGCCAACATGAATAATAAATGGAGTGAAATATTTATCCAAAGTAACTTGTGGTTTATTTCTCACCCTAAGAGAAATTTGTGGTTTTCTTTCACCTGAAGAAAGAACTATTTTCTACCATTTCATCTTTGTTCTGACCGGGACCTATCAATTGGTATCAGAGCAGGTTTGCAATGGCATTCATTCGTCCAGATATCCATGAAAAGATCCAAGAGAAGTTGCAGGAAGCCCTTGTTTTGGTTTCAGAAATAAGGATGTCTTTCAAGGAGTCTTTTCTTCCAAGGAGTTCATTTCAAGCACGTGGTAGCAAGGATGATCATGCTCCTCGCCACTGCACTGAATTGCAAAAGGAAGAGGAAGACTTCACTGGTTCACGAACAGGAGAGATGGATTTTCCCCATTTTTCTGTAGATGATCCAGTAGAATGGTTGCTTCGTGCAAATCATTATTTTGAGTGTCATGAGATTGATGGCGCTCAAAAAGTGACTTATGCAGGCAAAACTCCACAAGCGTTTCTAATTGAAGGCAGCCCAGAATTGATTGCATATGAGGAGCAAGAGTCGACACAGTGTGACCATATCCAAGTGTTTGACAGGGGCAAGAGAATATTTCGACATTGCATCCAGGGAGACCTTCAAAAGCAAATTCCAATTGTGGACCTTGAGGACAAGTGTCCACTTGAGGGGGAGGTATTGATAAGTGAGAAAGAGAACATGGCCCTTAATTTGAGAATAAGACCAAGTCAGTGGCTCAGTTGTGAAGATTTTGTGGTTGTTTTGTTGTTTGCATGTGGGAAGTGGAGTCCAATTCCAAGATCATGCATGCATGCACGTGGAACAGTCCAGGGAATTTCTGTTGACACGTTGTAGATTAGAGTTAGGATTTGTTCTTCATTTGTTTAGTTTACTTTGTAGTTGTTTACCTCAGCTCCCACGATCTGCTGAACAGTTATCGTGTGTAGCAATAGTTTAGGAAAAGTAGTTGAGTTGTAGCTTATTTAAAGAGTCAATATGAATAATAAATGGAGTGAAATATTTATCCAAAGTAACTTGTGGCTTATTTCTCACCCTAAGAGAAATTTGTGGTTTTCTTTCACCTGAAGAAAGAACTATTTTCTACAATTTCATCTTTGTTCTGACTGGGACCTATCAATTAACTTATGGAAAATAGCACTACTTCATAAAAGAACCTACAAGTGAAAAAATAAAGCCACTATAACAAACCTTTATCTCCTCGTCCCTGACTGAATGGATCCGAAACGTGCCCTCGGTGTCACAGAGGAGATGAAAGTTCCCATTTGCCTTTGGAATTGAGACAACACATGGACATGAAAGGCATCAATTAACACAACAATGCTTCCATAAAAAACCCACTCTTGTATCATTTAATGCAGCTATATAACCACTATTAAAATAAAGGTTAAGGAAAGGAACCCAGACACAACACTGTCCCAAGAAGCCAGCAGGATTAGTCTATATGTTTGTACTTTCCCAACGACCAAAACATGTCGTCATATTAAAATGGCAATGACCATACCAGAATAAGAAATATATACATAGTTGCACAATTATTCACTTACAATTGCTCCACCGAGCTTGTCAAGCATCCAATGTTTGAGTTTCTTCAAATGTTTCTCCAACCCTCTCATCTGTACACAAAAAAAAAAAAAAAAGAACTCAGCAATCAAACAACTGCATCCCAAGTCAACTATCCACTACCATAACCACTAAATAAATTGGACACAAGATATAGAGAAACAAATTCGAAGGAGAAAATTGCATTTCAATGGCCTTAAAATCATCTCTTTGCATCTTCCAAAACACATGCAAGCGACATCACACATAGAATACACACATAATCTAGTTAGGAATTAAAATATTTTATTCATGTATGATCGAAAAAATTTTACCCAAGTAATAATCCAATAAATTCTAGCATAAGGACCTTTACTCTGTTCATCTTCCAATAGTCATTTTATATCAAAATTAAATCTAAGTAGTGACATACACATATAATGCCTCTCCACATTTGACAACCCATGTAAAGCGTACAAGGAATAAGATAATAGAAATCACTCAAGTGCATATTTCTAAAATTCCTAACAAAAAATTTCACAAGAATCGGATTCTTTCTCTTAAGAAATTTTCCTGTTACATCTGCTCTTTCATAGTTTCTAACAAAGCCACTATTCTAATCTTGAAAGCCGTAATTAACACCAAATGGAAAAAAGAGACACATGAAAATGTAATTTTCCATTAAGATAAATATATTTTATAATAAAAACAAAGGATGAAAACATTAATATCAGCAAACTTCATTCGCACACAAGATTACACTAAAAAATTTAACTTGCCAGTATTAAAGAACAAAAACTTGTATTGAAATGATCGACAATGAAACTGTAGAGAGTAAAAGAAGATAAAAAACAAACCATTTTGCTACTTCTGCATCGTTAAACAGCCGCTTCCATCATGGTGGTGCTGCTTCTTCCACTGCTTAGTGCTGAGGAAACTCCAATAAGGTGATTGGATGTGGATGAAGTTGAAACCCTAGAACATAATGGGCTTTAAATAATTGAGTTGTGCTAGATTATTAACTTGAAAAAGAAATTAGTATGATTGAAGAAACCTTCAAAGGACACCGATTCATAAATCAAATCCAGAAATGAAATCAATAAAGAAGAAAAATCACAAAGGCATCAATTAAATTATGAAAATGTTCAACAATAAACACCCCCATCCAAAAAAAATTGAAAAAATAAAAAATCGATGTCTAGTATAACCTCGGTTTACCCTTTGTTCATCCTGATGCTGGTAGATCGAAAAGACGTCGAAGACAACACTGGACGAAGATTGATTGTCGAAACTTTGAAATTTCGACGGCAAATGAAAGAGAGGCAGAGATTAAGGTAAATGCCTTCTTCTATTTTTTTCCCCTTTCAAGAATACAAAACGGGAGGAAAACAAGTAATTTAGAGAAGACATTTAGCATGAACAGTAGATATCTCGTTTGTGAACAGTAGCCAAACCAAATTGGGACTCTAAGAGTGAAACCACTGCCACTAAAATGATTGGTGATCTGAGCATTCCTTAATACAAATTTGCTAAAGAGATTCGAACAAATAGAAAGAGAAAATCGAATGGCTGACAATAGAAAGAGAAGATCATCGATGAACAATACACAAGAAGAGCAAAAGGGTCGTCTGAGGATTTTAATTTCTCTGTTGGAGTCATCATTAAGACAAGCCGGAGATCTAATGGAAGAACAGGGAGTTTTGGCTGTGAGAGGAGAGAGAAGTGACAAGCAAGAAAATGTAAATGGAAGATTGAACACGAGATTTTTTACTCGCTCTCGGAAACCCATTATGAGCAGTCACGAACCCGATATGTGTGAAAACAAAGTCATAAATAAACACTGATTTTTTTTTGTCCACATGGAACAGTGAATTGTGAGAAAGAAATCACAAATGAACAGTAACATAGGATTGCCTCTTTTAGAAGAGTAGTGATTTATCAAACAACAATAAAAAACAAGAAGTTAAATATTATTCCTTACTACGCCTCACCACTAAGTCCCCGTTTGACCTCTTTAAAACTCTTCAATTTAATTTAATTTAACTTTTTTTTCTCTTACTTTTCACTACATAATTTTCAATAAAATAATATTACACTCAAATCGAAAAATTTTCAACCATACAATCTTCAAAAAAATATTATTTTCCCCATTATAAATTAAAATAATGGAGGCCAAACAGGGGCTAAGATAAAATTTATTCAACCCCCCCACCCCGCGTACTTTGTCATTTGACTTTTTTCTCTGTCATTAATAAATGTAATACCGAGTCTTGTGATATAATTATTAAGGTGGATGGTTGCGTTTTACAAATTGTGTTTTAAAGAATTAGTATTATTTGCCAGGAAACAACCAAAATTTAAATGGCGAGATTTGCTTGTATGGAGCACAATGACATAAAGCATTTTGCTTTGGTGCTCGCTAAATTTTCGACTTTTGTCATTGTCAGTGATGGTATTCTTGAACTTTGGTCCTCTATGTAATCCTTTTAATTGTTGACAAATTTTCTGTAACAATGATGATCATATAAACTTGAAATGCTTGGTTTTTTAAAGGTACGTTTGATCGCAAAGATAGAATTTTAGTGAAAATAGAACGAATTCAAGGTAATTGAAATGCCTAGAAATTATTTTCCTGAGAATTGTAAATTATTGTATTTGATTGATATAATTTTTCACGTGAAAAATGTTAAAATAAAAATATTTTTTGTGTTCGTTTGGTTTTGTTTTATATGAAAATTGTTCATTAAAAGGATATATTTTACTGGTATTGGGAATGAAATTTGTTTCCATTGTCAAAAAAATTAAAAAAAATCAAGAAAATCATCTATCTTTTGGTATTTGTTTGACTTTGTTTTACATGAAAATTGTCAATTAAAGGAAAATATTTTTTTAGAATAATTCTTAGAAATTGTTTCCATTGCAAAAATAAAAAATAAAACAAAAAATAAAAAAAAATTTCTTCTGTAAACTAGAAATTGAATTCTCACCATTCATTTTCCTTCAAAAGATGAAAAAAAACCTATGTGACACTAATATGTGGAAAATGAATTTCTTGGAAATTTTTGTCAATCGAACACCCAAAAATTGAAAAGTTAGAATTCCAATTCCATTTTCCATGGAATTCCACACCTATCAAACACACCCAAATATTGTGTTACTGAAATATATCAAACTACTTGTGTTAGTACTTTTCTTGACTTGGCTGAATAAGCTACTGTATAGGTAAATAATAGGTTAATCATAATGTGAACTTGCTCAGTGTTCAATAAAGCCACAAAATGGAAACATCAATGTGTATGGTCTATATTGAGCACTCCAGTGTTCTTCATTGTCGAAGGCCTTGAAGTCAAATGACAAGGCTTCACAAAATAGGTGTCAATTGGGACTGATCATGACCACTCCAGCTCCTGACTGGGCTATAGTTGAAGAACCCACAAAGACTTCCCAAGAGGCATCATGTGGGAGTTCTTCTATTGGCTCAATGCTGAGCTCTGCAACAAAGTTAGCAAGAGCCTAAAGGTGCGAGACTTGTACCTTATGTCAAAATTGGCCGAGCTCAATAGCCAATTTGACCATCTGACTTGAGGTTTCAGGTTTTTGCAAAGTCTATTTCAATGGATAATTCGTTATAATCTCGATGGAATGGTCCAGAAAGTATGGTCTTAATTTTCTGGCTATGATGATAAAGACGTAGGCCAATTTCTCTGGAGCAAAGTACTTATGTGGGAAGTATTTGTGGATAGCTTTGCTAACATAGTAAATGGAATGTTATATCCCTTCTTTCTCCTTAGCTATGACAGTACCAATTCCTTGTTTGGACACGGCAAGGTACAATACTAAAGTTTTGCAAGCTTTAGGTTTTGATAGGACTTGTGGTTGAGCTAATTGTTTTTTAGTTCATCAAAGATAATTTGACATTCAGGGGTCCATACGAACTCTTCTCTCTTTGCAAGATATCAAAAAATGGTTTGTACTGATCCATCAATTTTAACACGAAACTGCTGAGGAAAGTTATTCTTTCAGTTAGGCATTGAACCTCTTTGGGCCTTGCATGTGCTTTCATTTTGATGATTGTTCGTATCTTTTTTGAATTTGCTTCGATCCTCCCGGTGATTTACTAAATAGCCTAAGAATTTTTCATAGCTCACACTAAAGGGACACTTGTACTAATATAGCTTCATCTTGTATCTTATCTAGATTTCAAACATTTTAGTAAGGTATTGTTGATAGTCTTTTACATCTATACTTTTGACATATGTAGTCAACATATACTTCCATGATTTTGTCAATTTGTTTGGCAAACATGAAATTAACAAGATGTTGATACGTCAATTCCCTCCAAATCCGAGATTCCAGGCAAAGACATCGAGATTTTGTTGGAGTTGCTATACTATGTGGCTCTTGATGGGTGATTGGAGTTCATAGCCTATTTTGAGTTCCCTTGGTGGGTCATTCGGACTGATTGACACTTTATCCAATTCTTGTACAGGCTTTTCACCTTTAATTTTCAAGCTTGGATTGAGGTTTGATCTGAACATGTACACCATATACACCCCTGGTGAAGTATGTGCATCCTTCTTGACTGGGTAAATCTTCATCTGGCATTTCTCAGCTGCTTTTTTATCTTTTTCGATCTTATCTACACCATGAGGTATGGAAGATTTGAGTGAGTAATGGTACTTGGACACGACTGCTTTGAGGTTAAACAATAGGGCTGCCCCATAATAACATCATAAGGCAAAGTAGAATCAAACATCATGAACTCGACATTTAATTTAGCTTGGCATAGTGTTTCGCTAGCCCCAACAATAGGCTTATTCAGCCCCTTTGCCTTAGTGAGAACATCATTCAGTCCTAAAACCATATTTGGATATGGTCATAAGAAATGTGACAGGAATCCTATGTATTTCAGCAGTTGGTATAGAATATGTTGAGGGCAGTCCAGGTGTCAACCAAGACCAGATGGTAAATCTAGCTATAGGTATTGAGATCACTAGGACTCCAGGATAAGGATGTGGGTCTATTTCCTTATCATCAAATGATAGGTGGTCATCCTTTGGGGCTTTGCGATGTTTTTTGGTAATACTTGATCTTAGTGAGGTCGACTACTAAGGTCTCTTCAACCTTACCTCCCTAGTTTGAATACTTTACCCATCCCTCAATGTCTAGATATGGGGTCTAGGTAGATCGATGTCATTCCATAAGCAATTTAATAAGAAAACTCGGATCAAATCGATCGGCTTAATCTCTATGTACTATTCCGACTCCACTGGGAGTGGGGAACTTCATACAATAATGGTAAATCGAATTGGCTCTCTTTAATTTATATAATATAGATCTACCTAATATGGAGTAGTAGCTGGAAGGTAGATTGACAACTACGAAATCTGTTGTGGTTCTCCTTTAGCAAGAAGCTTCACTAGCTTCACAACTAAGGTAATTTATCCTTGGGCTTCGATAGGATCTCCAGAAAATCCTTGCAATCTCCTAGAGTATGGGTAGATGTACCATTCTAGGATTCCCATTTGTTCCAGATTTTAGGAATACAATACATTGACTGAACTCTCAGGGTATTTGAATTCCAACAATAGTCATGTTTATCACCAAATCGTCGCTTTGGTTTTGTAGAACTCTTTGAGAATCTTCTTTTTAAAATCCAAACCATTCTAGGTATAGGATAGTGTCATGGTTGGACTTAGATCATCCCACTTTGTAGTTCTGCTAGATGCACAAGTCCTGAGATTGTTTACACCTTTCCCTCATGGACCTTTCGGTGTTTTGGTTGCTACCTATCAACAATGTGATCTCAACATGAAGCGAAGGATTTCTATTTGGGAAAAGAACTTGCTAAGTTGATTGTTGGCCGTCCCTTGTTGGTAAGGATATTGAAGACGAGATCGGTTCGTTTCTCTAGCCTTAGCCACAAATTCAAGCAAATGACCCCGTTGGATTAAGGATTCTACTTTCTCTTTCATGTTCCTGTAATTGTCCATCTTGTGGCTTGTTAGCCTAGGTGCTTTTAGTTCTTGCCCTGGTTTTTCCCAAATGAGTTCGTTTTCTAAAGTAGAGGTCTATAGAACGCCTCTTCATATCCTATTTGCAAGAAGACTTTTTTCAAACAAGCATTCAATAGATGATACTTATGAAACCTCTCTGGATAGGGTTTAGGGTAATCTCTGTTCCCTCTTATATTTCCTTTTCTCATGGGGGATCACTTGTCCAACTTTTTCTACTTTTCTTGGCCTGGGTTATGAGGTTCTATATTTTCTACTTTTCTTGATCCGAGGTTGCTTCCTCTGCACTTATATACTTTTCAGCTCAATCAAGGAATTTATGGTATGTTCGAGGTCCTTCCTCATGTACGGACCATCAGAACCTTGTTCTAGGCCTTAGCTCAGAAAGGACCACCATGAAAGTGATGTCATCAGAGATCTTTTCAACTTCCATGGATTGTTTGTTGAATCTACTGAGGTAACTTTTAATGACTCGCTTTTCCTTTGCTTGATGCTCACTAAGTGTTCACTGGGCGTTGTTTTAACCTTGTAACCCATAAACTAAGCTAGGAATGTCGTGGCGAGGTCGGTCCAGTTTTTTATAGATCTTTGATGTAGCCTCCTAAACCACCTTTGAGCTTTATCTCCTCATGTTAATGGGAAGGCATGGCAAATGATGGCATCACTTGCTCCTTGTAGTTCCATCCTCGAAATATCTTCAATTTTTCAGGTAAAGGTTTGGATAAAATATCTTATGTGAAGGGGAGTGGCATTTGGGTAGGTATTCCTCGAAAATTCCTTTGTTTTTA